TGCTGCTGCTGCTGCTGCTGCTGCTGCGGCCAAGACTGTTTCATCTCGTTCGAGGCCATACTCTGCGGGGAGGCCACTGATGGTTGCCCAGAGCCTGTGCGCGGATCAGGATTCGTTGCCGGGCTGCTGTTGCGGGAGGCGTTTGTGTCGTTGGTCTTGCGCTTACGTTTCGAGTCTTTGGCTGCCGTGTCATCTGCCGTCCTCTTCTTTTTGTCGGCGTCGGTCGAATTATCGGCAGCGGCTTTTCCATTGGCATCGCGAAAGTAGTTGGCGAGTTTGCTCTCGGGGAGGCCATCGGCAGGGATGTTGCTCTCCTTGCGGAGCTGTTTGAGCATTTCGCATTCGCCGGCACCAGGCCAGTTGGCCCACGCCTCGGACATGGTCTTCTCGCTGGAAGAATTCATGGTAGCCTCGAGCATCTGTCTTGTCATACCGGCTTCGACCAGACATCCGCCGATGCTGCGCGCGCCGATAAAGTGGGCGAGGCTGCCGACGATGCCACGCAGCGAGTTGTTCTCGGCGAGCAGATGTCGGAGCGCATAGCGAAGCCGATTGACCTGCGTATCGTGGTCGGACGAGAGCAGCTCTACGCGAGCTTCGAGTGCACGGATGTATTGCTGCTTGCGCTGGCGGAACTCGCGCTGGGCTGCGCGATTCTGCTCCTTGCGGTGCTGTGCGGCTTTGGCATCCTTGGACTTGGCTGCAGCGGCACCCTTCTTGCCTTTGGCTGGCTTTCCGTCCGCCTTCTTCGCCGTTGCATCGGCATCATCTTCGTCTTCATCTTCGTCTTCGTCGTCCGTGTTGAAGCTGGCTGCGGATGTGTTGAGCCCGGAAGGCGGCATGTCGAAGTTGAGGCGTGGCTGCGGTCCGAGCGACATGGCGGTCTGAAAGCCGCTTGAGATGGCGCTGGGCGATGCGTCCGTCCAGCGGTCCATTGGAGAGCCGGTCGGGCCACGATGAGCGGGGGGCATGGTGTCGAGTTGGATGAACAGGCCCACCGCGCACACTTCAGCGGGGCGAGATGCGCGTGCGGACGGCGTTGAACAAAGTCTGCGCAGGGCCCCGGCAGACGCGCATGAACTCTCCTGTTGTTAAGGCGTCGAGTGGTATACAGAGTGCCCAAGCAAGCAAACGTACGGACACCGACCCAGACCCACTCGCTTGGTAGAGGGGCGATCCGAAGAGATGGTGGTGGTTGGCTTGGACGCAGCGCACGCAGGGTTCGCCGCGTTTTCTGATGCACCACCATTTTCCCGGCGGGTGGGCGATTGCCACAGCCGGAGAGCGGTGGCTGACCGGCTAAGTTGCAGAATGTGCAGAATGTGGAGCTTTTCTTTTTCTTTTCGTTTTTCTTTCGTCCCCATGCAACCGGCGTGCGGTGGAAAACCAGAAAAGTTACGATTTGTTTCCTATGATTTTGCCTTGCCGTCTCATTTGCATGCCTTGCCACACTCTGTTGCTTGGCGATGATCCAGTCGCAGAGTAAGGGTGGAAGAGTATCGTCGGACTGCGCTCTCGTCTGCGAGCGTTTGGAAGCGATCGAGTGATGAAGCCATGCTTTAACCCTATCACAAGGCGTCGGTATCGAGCTCGAATAGAGACATGCACGAGTTTGCCCATGTCCGCGGACGAGCCTGCCCAGTCCAGACCAGAGACTTGATTCATTTCGGGCGTTCGGATTTGTGGCCTTGGCCCCACCCGTTCCGTGGGTGAAGAGAGATGGACCCTGCCGCCAGGTCGTTACCAGAGCAGAAGGTGGTGCATGAATTTCTCACACAGTGTTAAGCCTGCGAGATCTCGTCTTCTCGCGGCACAGGCCAAGGAACGTGGCCCACGCACAGTGACGATTTCCGCTTTCAGGTCGATTTTGGACCCCGACTCGATGGCCACCGACACGCGAAATCGAGCGGATGCGCACAGCAGCCGACTTGGCTCGAGCGGCATCTGAGCCGGCGCATCTCCGCACCCGCTGCTGCTGGGGCCGATGTATCGATCAACTCACTCGGAGCGTCCCCCATCCTACCTTGATACCACGACCGTCTGACCCTGGTCCGACTCTGGATATTCCATAGATCCTTCGCATCCCGCCCCCGCCGTCTACGTCCGAGTTCAGTCGTCATGCTCAAGGTAAGTGCTTTTGTGGTGCATGCTTATCACACATCTCGGCCGTCGCACGCTCAGGTAAAGTGGCTGGACCGAGTGGCTGACATCCGCATTCCGCCGTGGCACGACAGGAGCTCACCGACCAGGCCCAGGGCTACCTGGGCAACCGCAAGCCCTTTTCGGCGGTGACCGACTGGATCGACCGATTGTGCACGCAGCGCTACGCCGAAGAGGAGTACGACGGCATTCCCGAGCTGGTCGAGGCCATCAATCTCCAGTCCACCGGTCCCACCGAGGCGAGCCGTGCGCTTCGCAAGAAGCTCAAGTACTCGAACGTGCACGGCCAGAAGCGTGCGCTCATCATCCTCAAGGCGCTCGTCGAAAACTGTGGACAGCGCTTCCAGACCACATTCGCCAACGATCAGCTCGTCGATCGCATCAAGATCATGTCGCAGGACCAGCTCGTCGATGCATCGGTGCGCAAGCTGCTCATGCGCGTCCTCCTCTCGTGGCACCAGCAGTTCAAGGACGACCCCTCCATGAAGCTCGTCGCCGGCCTCTACCAACAGTGCGGCGGCGGCAAAAAGTCAGAGGCACAGCGCAAGAGCGAGGCGGCCGAGGCATACCGCAAGCTGCAGGAGAAGCAGCGCATCGAGGCGCAGATCCGCAGCGATCGCAAGGCGGCCGAGCAGCTCCAGAAGGAAGAAGAGAAGAAGAGCAAGCTTCGAGGCAAGAAGGGCGTCAAGCGACCTGCGTTCAACTTTGAGCAGGAAAAGCCCGCCATGCTGCAGTCGCTTGCCATCTCGCAACAGGTGGCGACGGCGCTGGTCAATGCGCTGCAGCACGTCAACCGCGAGAAGGAGAGCGTGACGGAAAACGCACGAGTGCAGGACTACTTAGTCAAGACCAAGGTGGAGAGGAAGAAGATCATCCGCTACGTGCAGCTGGTCAAGGACGAGGAGTTCCTTGGCTCGCTCATCTCGGCCAACGACCAGATCATCCTAGCGCTCGAGCTGTACGATCGGCTCTCGAAGCCCGCCGAGCTCGACTCGGACGACGACGAGCCGCTCGCCGCCATCTCAGGTTCCGGACAGAGCGCCGAGGAGAAGACGGCTGCGAAGATCCGCGCCGATGATGCCGAGATCGAGATGGTGCGCAAGCGCATCGCCGACGCGCGTCTCAATGCACCCGACAGCGAGCTGGAGAAGCTGCAGACGCGACAGCGCGTGCGCATTCAGCGACACAACTCGCGTGTCGGCAGCATGCGCAGCTTCGACATGAGCCCACAGCCTACCGGCGACGGGCCGAGCGGTGCTTCGCGCGGCGGTGCGATGAACGACCTGATTGACCTCGACTTCCAAGAAGAACAGGCGGGCAGCTACTTGCATCCTCCGTCGCATGCCGGCGGCGCCCGACGAGGCATGATGGCGAGCGAGGCGGCAGGAAGCAGCACGCAGCGCGGCGCGCTCTCGGACTTCAGCGACTACGAATCGGAGGACTCGGCGGATGAACATGCAGCACAGGCGCCCGGCCGGGCCAAGCAGCTGGCAGCCGCTTCGTCGCGCCCCGAGGGTGGCTCATGGTCGAACCTCAACGATTCCGAAGAAGAGGAGTGGCTGCGCACCACGCAAAACCACCGCCCCAACATCGGCCCGGGCTTCAGCTGGGACGAGGACGACGAAGGCGACGACGATCCGTTCGCCGATCCGTTCGCGGATGCCAACAATGCGGCTGCGTCTGGCAGCGGGTGGGGCATCGAGCGACCCCAGAACCAGCCGCGCAAGGAGTGGGGCGTCGTCTGATCACGACTTTGCCACTTCTTTTACCTTGATTTGCCTTCCTTTCCATGATAACCCCCGTCTGTTCAGCAATGCCATTCATCTCGAGACGACTAGATCCAACTCGGCGCGAGCTTGCCTTTGTGCCTGAAGAATGCTTGCCTGCAGGTGTGAGCCAGCTCACCAAAAGCACGAGCCGAAGCGGCATGACAAGCGGCAAAGGCGTGGCAAGCTTGTGGTCCGCCCCGCTGTTTTGAGTTTGGTGTTGCGTGGCTGAGATTCGGCAAATCCGACGGACGACTTTCTCAGGGGCCAAAGACGCGCTGCGTTGCTGCCGAGTGTGGACGTGCGGATTTGGGTGCAGCCTGAGGGCGCTTTCAACACCGCGTCCCCGAGCCAGGTTGCTCAGCCTCGGCGCAATTTCAAAACATCTCGGCTCATCCGCCCCACCAGCAGGCACATGCGCACTTTCCATTTTTGGCCGGAGCGGCTGCATAGCTCTGAAACGCACACTTGAACAACACAGCCTGCATGAGCACCACCAATTCCTTCTCCTCGAACGCGGCTTGGCGCTCTTGCCGCGATGCTTTAGCATCCATCCAGCGCTGATCAGCCATCATCGACAATCCAATCTTCACAGCAATGAGTAGAGGTCAACAACACGCCCAAGCCGGGCCGAGCGATGCTCGCCGCTCCCGGCAACAACCGCAGCAGGCGCAGCAGAATTCCTCGGCAGCTCCGAGCTGGACAATGCTGCTCTTTGGTGGTCGATCTGCATCCACAGCGTCACAGTCGTCGGCGCGCCCCCGCAGCGATCGCTCCTTCCTCGGCTGGGGCAAGCCTAGCGGTTCCTCTTCCGGCAGACGCAGCGAGGAGCGCGAATCGCTCATCGGCGCCACCGCGTCGGAAGGCGATGCATTTGACGACTCGGATGCTATCTCCCTGCTCAGCAACATCGCCGATCGCGACTCGCGCCGCGGCGGAAGTGCAGCTGCGCGTCGCCGTGCCCGTGCGAGAGCGCGCGCCCAGGATAGGACCTGCGGCACGGTGTGGTTTGACCTCGAGGACTGGGGCCGTGCTATGTCTTGCGGGCTGCTCGGGAGGGGCAACAGGGACGCAAACGACTCCGGCCGGCAGCGCGCCGCTTCCATCGGCAGCGTCATGAGCCGCGGCGCGCGACGCAGCAACCACGCATCTTCATCGGGCTCGGTGGTCGCGACTTCGAGACATTCCCGCTCGCTGAGCGACGCGAGCACCGACAGTGGCGCCAGTCTCAGCGGCCCAGGATTCGCAGAGAGCATCGATGAGGATGCCGGCATGCTCGACGACCAGGACATTGCGCGGTTCGGAAGGTCCGAAGGGGCGGGTACATCCGACGAAGAGAGTCAGCGCGGGTCACCGGCTGAGGCGCAAACAAAAGCAGAGGCGGAAGCTGAGCTCAAGGCCAAAGCGGAAGCCGAGGCAAGGGCGCAAGCGGAAGCCGAAGAACAGGCCAAGGCAGAGCGACAAAAAGCGCTGGACGAAGAAGCGGCTCGGCTCAAGAAGGAGGCCGAGGAGGAAGCAGAGCGTCAGAAGCAGGAAGAGGCGCGCCTCGCCGCAGCCGAGGAGGCCGCCATCGCCAAAGCGCGCCGCAAAGCCGAGCGCAAAGCCGCCAAAGCAGGACTGCTTAAACTTCAACAAGAGACGCACGCCGCCCAGCGATGGCGCACCGAAGCCGAGGCAGAGGCGGCCGCGGGCGGATTTAGCTTTGCCGAGTCTGATGCGGATCAGCGCATGGCTGGAGGCGACGAGCCGCAGGCGTATGCCGAGCAGCAGTACGGCTATGATGGCGGCTTCGAAGACGAGCGTGGCATGCATGAGGGCGAGTACGACCAGTACGGCGATGCCGAGGAGCCCGAGGGCTATTACACGGTGGAGGAGCGCGGGCCCGGTGGCGTGGTGCACCACCATCACTACTACCATGCGCCGCCCACTGGCTACACCGAGGGCGACCAGTATAGCCTGTCGACCGAATTTGCGCCTGCCGCGGGAGCTTTCATCCCCGACGTTCCGGCCGCAGAGCCCGACGTCAGCCACGAGAAGCCGCAGTCGGAGGACGAAGCGGACATCGCTGGACTTTCCTTTGGACGCAAGAAGGGGCCTCGTCGTGGCGACTCTGGCAGCGCATCTGGCAGCCGTAGTGGCAGCGGTCTCACGCCTCGAGCTGTGCCCACTGCTGGCGGCTCGTCGTCGGGAGGCAGTGCCAACGGGCTGCGCGCACCTCTGTCCGCATCCTCCTCGACCGGTCGACCTGGCTACCGCGACCGCCCGCGCCGCCACGAACGCACGTCCTCAAAATCGTCCAACTCGTCCTCGGGCTTGCGCTCTTTCGCGTCCTCCGCCCTGCACGCGCCACCGTCGACTGCCGCAACATCAGTAGCACCCGCCATGGCACTGCCAAACTTGTACGAGTCCGAGCCCCTGTACGCGCCCGACGAAGGCGCGGGTGATGTGCCAGCGGGGCGGTTCGGCAGCCCGCATGTGGATGCCAACGAGTTTGGCGTGATCACGGCCGGCACCAACCGCGGAGGCGCTGGCAGGGTCAAGAAAGCCAACCGCGAACAGCGTCACAGCAAGCATGAACCGGATGCCGACTTTGACGGCTTTCCCGCGTTCTAGCGCACAGATCTCTCGCGACGCACGCTCCGCATACCCACTACTTCCCGCACATCCAGCGCATTTCGCAATTTCAGCGCATTGGACACACCCCGCGCATCGAGGGCATCGAGTTGATCGAGTACTGTATATCTTCTGTCGATATCTGTATATCGAGTATATCGAGTGTATCGAGTATATCGAGTATATCGAGTATATTGACTGAATCGACTGAATCGACTGAATCGATTGCATCGAGTGCGTCGCACATGCATTCCATCAGACAGGCTCAGTGCATTCCGCACGTCCCGCACTCAGTGCGCTCGACACACTTAGTCCGGTGAATTGAGTGCATCCAATGCATCCAATGCATCTAGTGCATCCAGTGCATCCAATGCGTTCAATGCGTTCAATGCGTTCAA